TATATTTAAATATTTTTTTTCTCGTATAGAACTATTTAACCCTCGATATAAATACCCTGAAATCTACACTCTCGCATTCTATATAAAACCGAATTCGTCGAACGAGTCCCCATCGATTATTTTCCATTCTCCTCCGTTTCTTATATTTTCACAGGCAAAACAGATCCCTTTTCCTAGTAGTCGTTTCTTTCCTTTCTCTCCGCAATTCCTCCAATTTTCCCTCTTTCCCATCATTTTCGTCGTCGTTTCTCGTTTCACCTTACGTGAAAAATTGTTAAACCTACTATTTACAGAAAAAACTCGTCCCCGTTTTTTTTTTTTTTTTTTTTTTTTTCTTTAATTTTCTTCGTTTCTCTCTCGTTTCTGCTCTCGCGAGGGAAACGAGAGATTGGAACCATGTTCGTCCGGCGATTACGAGGATAAAAATGACGCAACGAGCCGTGTTCTTTTGATTCTTTTTTCTAACTAGAGACGTGGGGATAATGTTCGAACTGTTTTGGTTCCGTCGAGTTTTCAATCGATTCCCTTCGGAGTTTCGAGTGTCTTATATTATTAGCAACAGTGATTTTGGTGTAGGTTGGCATGGCTTGTCGAGACATCTCGATGCTTTCCTCGCGACTTTGTCTCTAAACTCAAAGCGTTGTTTCTAATTCGCGGGGAGATGATCAAATTGTAGAAAACTCCGAATTTTTCGTTTGACAATTGAAAAGCTACTATCTTGGAATTGACTAGAGCAATAAATTAAATGAAAGTAAAATAACTCAGTGTATCTATGTAGATTATGAATCACATCAACTTCGTGTCTGAATAAAGCTTGCTTCTTGTCTAAGAAACAAAATTTTAAACTACATCCAAGGCTAATTAAAATTAACGAAATATCAATGAAATGAATCTCAAGTAAGAAAATTATTGATCTAGATAATTATTGATCTATACTTCAGCGTAGAGTAGATTAGAGTAATCATAAATTAATTCCTAATTACATTCTTCGCGTGAGAATTGATTTAACTTAACTGGGCTAGACTAAAATTAACCAATCACAATGAACTTCCAAAATCACAATCAAACGAAATTGTATCACAAAAATCGTGACAGTCAGTATCACAAAATTCTAAAAGAGAATCTATAAAAAGGAGACGAATTTTGAAAATTCTTAGCGTTATAACTTTTAACCTATTTACAATAATAAAACGCAATGTGCAATAAATATAGGCACGACAAAGGCAGCAAAAGCGTCGAAATACCTCAATTAGTACAAAAATCTGCTCGGCCAAACACTGGCAACCCACTCCATTTGTAGAGAAAATTTTCATTCTTTTATCTACCTAATAGTTTACAAGTTTTATAGCCAACATCGAATTGTCCTCGTGTATTTATATATTTATATTTATATTTATATTTATATATGTATACATAACGTATGTATAATATTTATAATATTTATATTCCGTATTTATATCCGTATTTATAGTATGTATATCCGACTGTCCAAGTATTATGTATAGCGAATCGACTAAATTTGCGCGGTCGTAGTACTGTCTCTCTTCTTATCGTTATTCTCTGCTGTTTGTGCTCGCATAGTAATTGGCAGGCCATTAATTAAAATAACTCCAGGTGAAAAATA